CTTCATCCTAAAAAGTGGGCACACTGAAATGTGTTGTCTTTCCTCCTCTTTCTAATGGAATGTTCAGACTTCAGAAATTCACACGTGTTTTTAATATTTCAAGCTGGGTGTGGTGGCACACATCTTTAATCCTAGCATTGGGGAGGCAGAGGCAGGCGGATCTCTGAGTTCAAGACCAGCCTGGTCTACATATCAAGTTCCAGGCCAGCTGGGGCTCCAGGGAGACCCTGTCTCAAAAAGACCAAAAAAAAAAAAGAAAAAAATTGAATCTTGAGTAGCAGGTTGTGTTTAGTGTAGTCAGTGTACTTTCGAGCAGCTTCTATGTGGAAGCTGAATGTGCTGTCCATCTTAAAAGTGCCAGACATCTTCGCTCTGTGCCTCAGAACTCCTTTCACATCTAGAGACCAGGGGCAGGCCCAGCCATTTGTAAGACTTTGTACCTCAGAACCTCAGATGTGGTCTAGAAACAACTGAACTTCAAGCAGCTGGGCCTTGGCTTTTGAAGCCATCAAAAGAGAGCAGCTTCTCAAGTGTAAGGGCACACTTCCATAAGATTAATAGCTGTTTTCTCCTCACAAACCATGGATGTTGGAAGGCAAATATATTTGCCCAAACTGCCTTTCAATAATGAAGGAGAAAACCAGGTCTAGTTGCAGAGGCCTGTAATTCTATCCACTCAGGAGGCTGAAGCAAGAAGATCAAAAGTTCAGGGTTAGCCTGGGCAACTTAGTATGACCCATTCTCAAAATAGAAAGCAAAAAGAAGGCTGAGGATACAGCACAGTGGTAGAGCACTTCCCTAGCTTTGTGAAGCCCCGGGTTCAATCCTCCACATTGTCAAAAGAACAGTGAAGGAGACATTAATACATTTTTTAGATAAACAAAAAGCTAAGAGAATGCCTTTATACTTTGAATATAGATTTGTACTCTAAGAAGTCTTAGACTAAAGTGAAAGGATATGAGGCAGTATCTAGAAACCAAGAAAAGAGGCTGGGGGCCAGGCATGGTGGTACAGGCCTTTAATCCCAGTACTTGGGAGGCAGAGCCAGGCGGATCTCTGTGTGGTCAAGGCCAGCCTGGTCTACATAGTGAGTTCCAGGACAGCTGGGACTATAGGGAGACCCTGTCTCAAAAAGACAAAAAAAAAAAAAAAAAAAAAGAGACTGGGGGTTAGTTTAGTCAGAAAAGTGTTTTTTTTATAAGAATGGGGTCTTTTTCAACCCCCAACCCCCCCGTTTAAAAAAAAAAAAAAAAAAGGCATTTTAGTATGCAGTTGTAATTCCAGTACTTAGCAGGTGGAGACAGGTGGATCCCTTGGGTTTGCTGGCCAGCCAGCCTAGCTTAATCAGCAACCTCCAGGTAAATGAGAGACCCTGCCTCAAAAACAAAACAGAACAAAGAATGAACACCCTACAAAACACCAAAGTAGATGGCTCCTGGGCAACAACAACTGAGGCTGACCTCCAGTCTCCACATGACCGTGCACACATGTGCATGTGCATGCACTCCCACATATACACAAATTATAAGAAAAAAAATCATACTGACTGGTGAAGTTAACAAGTGTTATGGTATTTTTGGCTGGTTTATCACTTTTTTTCCTTTGATGATTATAAAGTCAAATGCATTGAATGGGAATACAAGTCAGTGTTCCTGAGCATCTAATGTCTCAGGATATAATCTGTGATGAGAGCAGTAGAGAGGGAAAAAGGAGTTAGTAAGAGTCCAGTTTTCATTTCCTATAGGAGCTCAGCCTTCAGATAATGGTTTCAGATTTTTTTTTTTAGCTTATGTG